TCACTTGGGCCTGTGATTGCTGGGAAGGATGGCAAGGTCTAGCCTGCTTTACCTCCCTGCCATTCTCCTTCTCTTTCCTTTTTCTCCCACAGTCTGCCAGGTACCTGGCCCTGTCTCCCACTCTCCCCGGTTCACTTGGGCCTGTGATTGCTGGGAAGGATGGCAAGGTCTAGCCTGCTTTACCTCCCTGCCATTCTCCTTCTGCTCTTTCATTTCTCTCCCGCAGTCTGCCAGGTACCTGGCCCTGTCTCCTACTCTCCCCTCCCTGACCTTGTTCCATGCAGTTGGCCTCCTTGCCCATCCATTGCTTGGAGTGGGCGTTTCCAGGGAGCAGCGTTGCTTCCTGATGGCTCGTCGTGTTCAAGCCTCCACTCAGCTCGTCAGAGAGGGTTGCTTCACTGCCCTCTGTAGAACAGCAGTCCCCAGTACTCTCTATTCCTCTGCTTAACTGAGCTCCCTTTTCCAGCACATAACCTGTTCCAGGTTGTTTTCTTGTTTGTTTGTTTTCGTTTATTAAGGTTTTTGCTGTAGGGTATGTGCACTTGCCAGAGAGACAGAGACAGAGAGAGAGAAAATGAGAAATCACCCCCACACACACTTAGGAGGGATGGCCACACTGCAATCCCTTCTCCTCCCAGGATTTGGGCATGGATGCCCAGAGTGATTTTCAAGCTACCAGGTCTCTGGACTATGAGAATACAGAACCATAACCACCACTTCACCTGCTGGCTCCAGTACCTGACCTGTTTTTTTTTTTTTTTTTAAACAGAGGTTTTTGTTACAAGGCGTATGCACTCACTGGAGAGACAGAGAGACAGAAAATGAGAAGTCACTCCCCTCCCCCCCTTGCAGGGGCGATGGCCATGCTACAGTCCCGTCTCCTCCACTCTATTCTCAGGATTTTGGGCATGTGCATGTGTATGTCTGGCGTGAGTCTTTTTTTAAGGTGCTGGGTCCAGGACTCCAACCAGTCAACTACATGGAAATCATTACACCATCTGCTGGTCCCTTGACCTGTTTTTTATTTATTTACTCACTTTTAAAAACTCTGCCTTCCTCTTCATGAATGTAAGTTCCCTGTGGGCAAGTTTTTTGTCTCTTGCTGAAATCTACCTCCTGGATATACTTAATAGACATCCAAAAAGCAGGCCCATGTGTAGGTGAGAAATGGAGAGCCTTGGCCATCTCTGCCTGTGTCCCTGGAGTGCTCCTCACTCCAGGATGAGCCCCAGGAAACGTTAGGGACCAGTGGTTGCCGCTAGGTCCATATGCACCCGTCGTATTCAGCTGGCATGACCTCCTTCCCTCCCCCTGCCTCCCATTGATGCTTTATAAATGTATTAGTGGCTGCATGATGTCACCGTAATGCATTTTGGGAATAGCCATGTGGTTTATACACACTTGAGTTGCTTTGAATGTGGACCTGACATCATACTGAAGGCAGCCGCGAACAACATATGCACAGTAAACAGGCAGAGACTGTCTTATTGATTAACAGATGAGGCCTCTATTATCGATCAGAGCTTGGCGAGGAAATTTATCACTTTTAATTTCAGGGCTGCCAAATATTTCTGCCTCTGAGCCAGCCATTCCAGAGACAATTTAAAGGCACAAGCCTCCTTGGGAGAGCAGGTTTCGTCTGTGTCCTGCTCCGCTCTTGTGTCGGCGAACCTGCCTGAATTAGCTGTTTGGCTCACCCTGGAGATCTGGGAGGAGTCGCAGGCTCTCCGGGTGGAGTCAGGGGCTGTTGGGGCTTTGTAAGGGGGGCCAGCAGTGGGAGCCAAATGTCTGTGGTTTCCATGTGAAATGAAGAGTCTGACCCAGAGTCACTGAGGACAGGGGACTTTCACACACTCGCCTCATTTTTGTGACTTCAGCGAGATAGAGGTGGAAAAGGGAGGGCTTTGAAGGGAACCAGATGTGGTCAGACTTGGACCCAGCCGCACCCTTTACTAGATCATGTGTGCGCATCTGTTTTTATCTTCATCTGAACTCGTCCGATGGTGCACATCCGGCCCTTTATTTCCTCCCTACCCTCCTTCCTTTCTCTCTGCTTTTTGGTTATTAAAGCCAGAAGCTTCTGCAGCCCACACTGCTGGCTGTTTTCTAAGAACTTGTCCATACCACATCCCTTTGAAACCTGTGTGCTGTTGGGCTTCTCACTCCATAGCATGTCTCTGGTAAGTTGGGGGGCCCATGGGGCACCTCTTCTCCCCTCCTGCTTCTCCTTTCTTCTTCAGAGAGCCATGAGAATGGATAGAACCAAAAAGAAGAAATACAATTAAAATCAGATCCCTTACAGATCCACAGAAAATCATTGGTGACCAATGATTTGGGACTGGGGGAAGTTTCTGATTGTGAGGGAGCTGGGGCTGCCCTCGTCCCCAGTGTCCCGTCGTGGCTCGTCCATTCCTGGTACTTGCTGCATTGTCCAGTGCACATGGGTGGAAAGCGATCTTGACTGCCACCTCTTGAACACACACTGGGCCTGCTTTGCCTTCATCCCTGATGGAAATTTCCCTGGCTCTGTCTTCAAAGCTCTGTAAGCCGTCTACCAGGTTCTTGGCCTGAGGATGCCCTGCAGCTTAAAGGGACACCCAGAGGTCATCCTGGATTCTCCCAGCCTCCAGATGAAACCCAACCCCAGCCACCTAAGACAAATGGCAGCGTTTATTTTTAAAGCTCTTCAGGAAAAGTGATTTCCTATCTTCTCTGGGGCATATTATCACTTGTTTATTCAGTCAATCAACTCATATTTATTGAGGATCTATTAGATTATATCCTGGTCATCATTTGGAATATAATAGGCCTCAGCAAGACAGTTGATGCCCTCCTGGGACCACAATTTCTAGACATGCTCTAGGATCCTCATACTCTTTACTGGCAAAAACGGCATTTAGCTTAAGCCATAGATTTTGAGTGATGTTCCCAAGTTTATACTCCAAAGCAGAGGTTCTTCAAACTTAAAAGAAGTAGAACCATTTTTTCAAATGCAATTTTACACAAAGCCCTAATGTATAAATGGGTACATTTTGTATTCTTCATTTGAGTCGAGGGAAGGGAGCCCAAATCCTACCTTCTTATCCATGAAGCCTCTTTGTAGATAGCACCATAGGAAAGTTGAAGGGTAGAGGGATTAAGAGGGAAGTCTCTGAAGTCAAGCTATTTGTGTTTGAATCTATGTCCACTATTATCCCCTGTGTGATAGGCAAGGTAGTCCGTCTTTCCAGGCTTGAGTTTACTCATCTGCTAAATGGGATGGAAACAGTATATACTTTACATGATTTTTGCTAGGGTTAAATGAAATGCTCTAAATTAAACACTTAGCATCATACCTGGTATGTAGTAAAGCCTTGGGAATTCTTAGGTGGCTTGAAAATAGCACTAGGAGCTATAGATACATGCACAGGCTCTAATAAAAAGCTGCAACACAGGCTTGATTAAAGAGGTGCTAAGGTGTCTTTAAAGGACCAAGTACAGTGGCAGATTGGAAAGGGCAGAGCAGTGTTGTTGCCCACAAATTCTAGTTTTGAAAATGGAGAGAATAAACAGAGGGATGGGTCCCGGCACTGCTCAAGCACAGAGACTGAGGAAGGGTCAGTGACACCCAGAGGGGGGTGATGAGGGCAGCCTGCCTATGGAGTTGGACAGCTCCAGGGGTCACATTATGGAAGGCCTTGAAGCCAAGGAGAGGGATATAGAGTCAGTACAAATTGAGAACCATTGTATCTTCTTGAGTAAGAAAGTACGAGGAGTCCAGTGGCCTTCAAGGATCCTGCATCTGTCAGGTGGCTCAGAGGGTGGCTGGTGGTGAAAGTGCATGTGCCTTCTGGCCAAAAATCAAATAAAATAAGATATAAAAAAAGCTATACAGTATAACAGCTATTTACATAATACTAAGTGTTACAAGTAACCTGAGATGATTCCCCAACCTCTAGTATGGGTCCGTGACCTGTTAGGAACCAGACTATACAGTAGGAGGTGAGCTGTGGGCAGGGGAAGAAAAGCTTCATCTGTATTTACAGCCACTCCCCATTGTTTGCCTTACCACCTGAGCTCTACCTCCTGTCAGATGAACGGTGGCATTAGCTTCTCACAGGAGCCTGAGCCCTGTTGTGAACTGTGCATATGAGGGATCTATAGTAGGTTGCACACTCCTTCTGGAATCTAATGCCTGATGATCTGAAGTGGAGCTGAGATGGTGATGCTAGTACTGGGGAATGACTGAAAATACTGCATTACGATGAGTCATGTAATTATTTCATTATATATTACAGTGTAATAATACTAGAAATAAAGTGCACAATAAATATAATGCACTCGAATTATCCCCAAACCACAACCCCCCCACCTCTAGTCCATGGAAAAATTGTCTTCCACAGAACCAGTCCCTGATGCCAAAGAGGTTGGGGACCCCTATTTTAAAGTATTTAAGAGGACATGTGTAGGTAATGTGCAAATACTACACCATTATACATAAAAGACCAGAGCATCCTTGGATTTCAGTTTCTATGGGGGATCCTGGTACCAATCCTCCATGGATACTGAGGAGCAACTCTGCTGAATCAGAGCTCCTGTGTCGTCCATGTAGAAGCATGTCAACAGTCTCCACTTAGCCATCAGTTGTAATTTAGGCAGTAGGATGCACTTCTGCTCATTATTATAATTTACTTCTTTATTTCCCTTATCAGGAGCTCACCCCTCAAAATCCCCCTTCTTCTTGGGATGCTTCACCTGGACTCCTCTTGGTTTATTTTGGCTGTTCCGATTTTGTTCCCTTTCTCTGAGAGAGCCTGGATGAGGGGATTTGGTACTCATCGGGTGGGTGGTCATCTCTTGGAGGAGGGGTGGGGCTGGCTGCTGGGGCTATGAATTACCCCTGTGCCAGGATCTTTAGATGTCCAGCCCCTTCTTCTCAGGCCCACCCATGATATTGGCCCATGGGCCCTTCCTCCTAATGGACTCGGGCTCTATTGGTAATTGCTTGTCCTCTCTTTCAGCGGGTGCCAAAGCCTTTGTCTGTGATCAGTGTGGTGCCCAGTTCTCAAAGGAGGATGCCCTGGAGACACACAGGCAGACCCATACTGGTAAGTTGACTTTGGTTCCCATTCTCTGGGTTTTCCACAGTACAATGACACATGGATTGGACGTGTTATGGTGGCATCCTCTTTTTGCATGCTCGATAGCCAGCTATTTCCTGGGTACCTGCGAGTGGGGAGAACTCCAGCCATGGTCAGCTGCTCATGCCTATGGGGCTGGCTGGGCAGGAATCTAAGAGTGAGACGTTGTCTCAAAGAATAGCCATCCTACACTAGGCCACGATCTCTGTCTAACAGGCCACCGAGATCCCATCTTCAGGGAGGTGTCTTGTGTGCCCTTACGGAGGCCTTAGAAAGTTCATGATGTTATCTAAGTGTTCCATTCTCTTGGCAAATAGCCAGGAAACCTCTGATGAAACTCTGAAACTCTTGTGTGGCCATAGTGGGCTTGTCGTCCTCCTGCAAGAGTTGGTTCATCATCTGAAAGAAATCTGTCCATGCATTTGCTGCACAAGGATCACGAGAGCAGTATTAACTAACAGGGACACAGTTCATTCCATGTCAAAGCACTGACTTCACAGCGTCAGCGTCACCTCCTCGTTGTAACCGCCGTCGGCATCATCATTGCGGCAGCCCCCACAGGCCGAGTGCTCACCATGTGCCGGCCTCTGTTTTCAGTGCTCTTTCGGCTCCCAGCCTCTCAGGATCCCCTGTAAGATCGTAGGGGTAGAAAATGAGGCTCAAAGGAAGGAAGGTGCCAAGGTTAATAGGGGACAGGGGGTCGGGGGTAGGAACTTAGAGTGCCTGGGTTTAATCCCGACCTCCTGGATCCTATTTGTGGGATCACAGATCAGTTATTTAAACTTTCTTAAATTGGGTTTCCTTAAGTGAATTAATAATATTGAGTTGTCAGGAAAGTCATGATGCATTTTTGCATAGAAAAACTTAGGAAAAATAAGTCATGACGTTCCAGTAGTATCTACTCTATAGCATAAAATCATTGTGAGGATTAAATAAGCTATTTTATTTGAAGTGCTTTGCAGTGCTTGGCTTAGAGTAGGAATTTAATTAATAGTAGTAGGTGTATTTAATTTACTAAATATTTATTGACTTCCTGCAATATGCCTGGCACTGTTTGGACATTTAAGATATAGTGAATGCGTGAGACAGACAACCTTCCTGCCTCTTCTGGAACTGAGAGACGGTATCAACCAACCTGTGTGTGATACAATGTCAGGTTAAGTATTATAAGTGCTACTAAGAAAACATAAAGCCAGGTGAGGGGTATGGAATGATAGGGAGAAAAACAATGTTTTGGAAGACCTCTCTGAGCAGGTGATATTTGAGCAGAGTCTTAAGAGAGTGAGCCACTCAAAGATTTCTGGGAAGAATGTCTAGGCAAAGAGAACAAGCACCGTGAAAGTCCTGAGGCTGAGGAACCTGGCAAGTTCCAGGACCAGCATGAGGAGCAATGTGACCAAACAGCAGGGACGAGGCGCAGAGCGTGGTGGGAAAGGAGGGCAGTAATCAGAGGGCTTCTCATCTCTAGCCAGGAACCTGGGCTTTATTCTGCAGGAGCTAAGAGCCCATTGGAAAAGGAGAAAAGATAGGCTAATCATATATTCAGTAAGACACTTACAGTTAGAAAATTGCAAAGAACTCTTATGATTTTAAAAAAAAAAAGTCCCACAAATAATCAAATGAAGGAACAGGCAAAGGATCTGAACAGACTTATTTCTAAAGACCGACAAATAGGCAATAGGTTCATGAAAAGATGCTCGACACCATTAGCCATCAGGGAGATGCAAAGTGAAACCACAGGAAGAGTCAACCTCACACTGACTGAGATGCGGCTGTGATAAAAATATGGACAGTAACAAGTGTTACCAAGATAGGGAAAAATAGGAACCCTCATACACCACTGGTAGGAATTGAAAATGGTACAGCCACTGTGAAAAACAGTTCAGCAGTTTCACAAAGGGTTAAACATAGACTTACCATGTGATGTGCAATTTCACTCCTAGGTATATACTCAAGAGAAATGATAACCTGGCCTCATGAAAACCTGTATATGAATGTTCACAGCAGCAGCATTCATAATAGCTGAAAAGTGGAAACAACCCAGCGCTTACCAACTGATGCATAAACAAAATATAGTATATTCATGCAGTGGAATGTTTTTTCAGCCTTAAACATGAACGAAGTATGATAAATGCTACAACATGGATGCTCAGTGAAAGAAGTTAGGCACAGAGCCCACATATTATATGCTTCATTTATATAAAATTTCCAAAATAGGCAAACTTATAGAGAAAGGAAATAAATTAGTGGGTGCCAGGGTCTGGGGGATTTGGGAGGGGGTAACGGGAGTGACTGCTAATGGGTATAGGATTTGTTTTGAGAATGATGAAATGTTCAAAAATTGATTATGGTGATGGTTACACAGCTCTGAATATATTAAAATCCATTGAACTATATATCTTAAAAGCATGAATCATACACACACATATACACATATTAATAGAGAAGGGGGAATGGTCTCAGTGGGTGTTGAGTAGAAGAATCACTTGACTTGATTTGTGTATTTAAATGATCTCTGTAGCTCCTGTGTTGAGAATTGACCTTGGAGAAAGTTTCAGCTCTCAGTTACTATGTAGCATGTCACTCCAACAGTAGTTTAAAAGAGCAATGTGTTACTATCTCTGATAGTTCCAAGTTGGCTGGGCTCGGCTGGGCGGTTTTCCCTTAGGGTCTCTCATGTGGCTACATCACGTAGTGACTAATGCTGGCATCTGAAGGGGTGAGGATGACTTCTTCACTCAGTGCCCTCCACTTGGCCCCTCCTTTACAGTAGAGTTGCTTGAACTTGATACATGACAGCTCAGGGCTCCACGCATCAGGAAACATAAGCTTTCAGCCATTTTCTGCTCTGTGTATGTCTGTGTGTATAGTGATGTTTTAGACAGGATCTCTCGTGCCAGGACCCTCATGCTTCAACCCCTAGCTGGGACTATAGGCCTGCACCACGTGTCTTTTTAAAGACAGTCTTAACTATATTGCCCACCCTAGCTTTGGGCTGGCAACCCTTCTGCCTCAGCCTCTCGAGTAGCTGAGATTACTGGTGCATGCAACCATGCCCAGCTTTTCAGGGTGGGCCAGGAATTGAACCCAAGCCTCTCATGTGGTCTTACCCTGCCAAGTAGCAGTGTCTGGTGTGTGCCACTGCTGTAGGGCCTCCATTTCTCTTAAAAGCTCAGCTGGAAACAAATGACATAACTTTTGCCACATTATATTGATCCAAGAAGTTACTGGTCAACCTCAGATTAAGGTGATAGACAGACTCCTATCTCACTAGGAGATGGACAAAACCTGGAAAGACAGAGGAATTAATGGCTGCCATCTTTGGAGACAAGCTACCATAGGGTACTTGAGTGGAAGGAAGACCAGTCAGTTGCTGTTACAATATTGTCATCAATACTTCTAAGTTCTTATCCTTCCATCTCACAAAGTCTGGCCTCCTGAGTGCAAGACCTCCCTCCTCACACGGTTACCGTGGGCCTCACATGGTGCTGCCTGTTCTGTAACAATGAGAAGAGAGCTGTGTAGGTGAGCTGCCATTCCAGTCAGCACCTCCCGAGCTCGGATATGGAGAGGTATGGCCAGGTTATATTGCCCAGGGTTCTAGATCTCATCGTCATGAGAACCAAAGGAGGATCAAGGTCACCCTTATGCCCTACCAGTGTCTCGCTGCTGGGATACATGTAACAGAGAGTCCAGTTTGGGGAACCGGGGAGACTGAGCTGGGAGCCAGCTTTGCCAGCAGCTTAATTCTGTTCACCCAGATTAATTTACAGCAGCAGGGACCAAGCTGCCCACTCAGCCAGGGGCAGAGGAGGAAGCTGAGTCTCCGAGGGTGGAGCAGTTGCTGGGATGTGTTCCTAGGCAGACCGTAGACCTTGCTGGGCACCTTCTACAGGCCTGGCACATGCTGGGGATAGGCAGTGACCAACACAGGTGCACTCCCTGTTCTTGGAAAAACAAAAACAAAAACCCCGAGGGTCTGAGGATGAGGGTCCGGGTCCTTTGTCTTTCACCAGAGTCCTTGTGGATGGGGCTTTTCTGAGGGAGAGAGAGGCTCCCCCAGTGAGGGATCGGCTCCCTGGTACCCCCTGCTTCTGTTGAGGTAAAATGTGGATGATACTCAATAAGCCACATGTGGCTTGCTCAATAAAGATCGAGTAAACTGAGCTCTTGAAAGGGTGAGGAAAGGAGAAAATGAATCCAAATTAGGGAAGAGAGACCAAGGTGCGCGCTTTGAGCAAGGCTCCCTGCCAGCCTGGTGTGAGCTCTGGGTGAGCTTCCCCAGCAGGGAAGAGCACCGCCCCTTTCTGCAGTGGGCAGGCGCTGTCCTCAGGCCCGTGCCCAGGGCAGGTATGACAGCAGCCCCGCTCTTGTGTGAGCCGTGGGACACCAATGACTCTCGTGACAAGTGGCAGAGCTGAGGTGCAGTGTCACTCAGAGTGCTACGTCCTTACTTCCCTGCTCATCGATGGAAGAGCACGATCTGAAATCTATCTGCTGCCTCTGTGGTAGGAAAGAGGACCCAAGAGGGAGAGGCCTGATCACAGGAAAGGCTGAGGATAACGCAAAAGCTGTTGGTGCGGGAAAAGCTGGGTGGGGTGCCAGGGGTGGTTGGGGAGCTGACAGGAGTGGGGAGAGAGCCCTAAAAGGAGAAGGAATGGAGGTGCTGGGGAGAGTAAAAAGGGCACTAATGCCACTAGGTATTTCTGATCCCTTAGTTGTAAGACATTTCTATTATGCCAGTTTAACTGATGAGAAAACGAAGGCCTAGAAGCTGCCCACTAGCAAGTGCAAAGCTGGAACTTGGCCCAACGTCAGTGCTCTTTCCAGTGTTCCCAGCTGCCTACACATCGACTGACTGTTGTCCCCATGTTCGGGCACCGGATGGCTCAGGGAGAGCCTCTTTAGAGACCGTTTAGCCCCACGGCTCTGTCCTAAGCTGGGCTCTTCTGAATCCCTGTGACTCA